TGAGACGTTGATCACGGGCCGAGACTTCAAGCTTCCGTTTGACGTTTGCAACCCTTTGCCCCCGGGCCAGCCGAAGCCTGAGCACTGGACCAAGATCTCCAAGAGTATGTCTTGCGCGCTCCTCTTGCACGGCACACATCACTGACACATTTTGTAGATCGCTTTGTGGGAGAATCTAGTCTCTACTGGAAGAAGAACCAGCATTCTTCTGCAGACGAGTCCAAGTGCGTTTGCAAGCCGCAGGACGGCTGTGACGAAGATTGCCAGAACCGTATCATGTTGTATGAGTGCGACGAGAATAACTGCAACGTCGGTAAAGCTTTTTGCACCAACCGTGCCTTCGCCGATTTGCATGAGAGGAAAGTTGCGGGCGGCAAATATCGCACAGGAGTCGAGGTCATTAAGACATCGGATCGCGGCCATGGCATCCGGTCCAACCGATGCTTTGACGCAAACCAGATTATCATGGAGTACACGGGAGAGATCATTACCGAGGAAGAGTGCGAGAACCGGATGAACACAAAGTACAAAAACAATGATGTAAGTCGCGCCGATACGTTTACTCGAGAGGCGTCGAAAACTAACCTACGGCTTAGTGTTACTACCTCATGAGCTTTGATCAGAACATGATCATTGACGCCACGACTGGTAGCATCGCCCGATTCGTCAATCACTCTTGCAAACCAAACTGCAAGATGATCAAGTGGATCGTGGGCGGCCAGCCGCGAATGGCACTGTTTGCGGGAGACGCGCCCATCATGACTGGCGACGAATTGACCTACGACTACAACTTCGACCCTTTCAGCGCTAAGAACGTTCAAACCTGTCTGTGTGGCGAGGCAGAGTGTCGCGGTGTGCTGGGTCCCAAACCCAAGGGACCCAAGCCGGTCAAGGCTGAGAAGACAGACGGCAAGGCTGGTCTTAAGAAGAAGAAGAAGGTCAAGGGCACAAAAACTGACGCCAAAACAACCCCGAAATCTGCAGCAAAGGCCCTCAAGAGCCCTGCCAAGCTGACGGCGAAGACGCAGGCACCGAAAGCGAAGCTGAAGGAGACTGTCAAAAGCGTTGTCAAGCTCGGAAAGCGCAAGCTTGAGGAGCTCGCCGGAGATGACACAGCTGACGCGATGGCGAAGAAACGAAAGATCAAATCTCCCAAGGGCACGAAGCAGAAGCAGAGCGCCAAACGCAGCTTCTCCGACGCCAGCAACAAGGTTGTCAAGGCGGCAGCGAAAGGCGCCGCCACAGTGAAGAAGAGTGTCTCGACGATTACTGTGAACGCGAAGTCAACACCGGTCGCGAAGAAGACGACGTCTTCCAAGGTGACCACTGTTCGCACATCCAGCTCAGGTCGTGTCATCAAGGCGACGAAGAAGCGCGACTCTCTTCTGCAAACGACCTTGTCACCCAATGCGACAATTATCGCAGCCAGAGCTGAGAGCAGCAAAATCAAGGCTGCCGAAAAGGGCACCCTGAAGACGCCGAACAAAACGAAGAGACCGGCCACTCCGAAGAGCCTCAAAAGTGCTGTCAAGTCCCCCCGCAAAGCGCTGGATCTACCGCGCGTGAAATCGCAGATTCGCTTGGTGAGCCCTGAGGCCAGCAGCATCACTGCCCTCGTGCCCCCCTCGATGGCCTGAGGCCCTCCACAGGTGACGGTTTTGCTGCAAGAGAGAAGGAGATGAGGCGCGGAAACACGGGAGCGGCGGAGTTGAGGATTCAATGTTTTTGCTATGGCGTCCGGCCTTGGTTGTCCTGCGGTAGGTTACGAGAGGCGAATGGAGTAATATTGATTGTGCATTTACAACTAGTGGGCACCAGCACGTACCCTCAGTAGCTCTACCAGGTTTGTCATTTATTCAACATATTCTTTCTCGTCTCCATCGCATTGAAGAGGTGGCCCGAAACAGCGAGCATGTGCACATCTCCCTAGACTGTCTACAGTGGGGTTCTACCGTGACTGTCAACTAGCCAGCTAAACAACAGCGACAACGACAAGAACAGGGCGCAAGGAAGTGGCAATGTAGACAGCCAGGTGGACCGCATCCCAGACCGAGGCCACGATGTAAAACATGCAATGGGACATGATGACCATGGACCGACAGCTGTGGAGGAAGGCTCACGTCTTCACAAGGCAGCGAGCCCTCACAGGCAATCATTTCGGCTCACCTGTCTTTCTGAGGCTTTGCTTCTCCGCCAGTCTGATATCGCCCGCCCTGACATGGGCAGCGGACTCGAAAGGTTGGCCGTCATGTATTTTGACCGAGATCGTGCGTCGCTCACCGCCTTTGTCGGGGACCCCTTCCGCCTGGCCACCACTTGGTTCGGGCGCGGTCAGGTTCGCTCGCGCGCTGGACGGGAAAAGGGTGGGGGAGCTTGCTGTGTTGCACTTTGTGCGGCTCTGCGGGTTCAGATGTCAGTGAGGAGTATGGGGAGAGGCTGTGCTACGAGGGAGCCGCTTCAGCCTGAAAGGCGGTCGAGGGAGAATTCATTGGCCTGGAGAGCTTCCACGGGCGTGGCTGAGCTGCGACTTGCGAAGACAATCGTGACTGTTTGAAAGGGCAGGAATCGGACTTGAGTCTTTCTGTTGCGCGTCGGGGTCAGTTTGAGCAGCACAGCATTGTGACGGGAGCAGTTGGGGCGGTCTTTCGTGGCAGGTGCGCGTGGGAGTGTCGAGAAGGCTGATGGTTTTGGCTCGCCAGGCGTCGGGGAGAAGGTAGTTTGTCGCCCCGATACAATTGGTGATGGAAGCCAAGCTTGACCAATGACATTTCCGAAAACACGGGAGAAACGTGATGACACTAACGTATGGCTTGGGACTTGATATTGTGTTATTATTTGGACATCAGGGCATGCTTGTGTACAACTTCCACGGCGGTGGGCCAGAGAACGTACAGGCTGTCCGCGGCCTAGGCATGGGCCGTTAGGCAACAAGTAAGCGGCAGGCAAACAGGCACTTGGTCTTGAACTTCGATTGACCTTGATAACGAGGATCGTTCGCATTCCCACGCCCATCAGCTTGCACACGCCGGGAAAGAGGGGGGGATGGCTGCTTGTACATTTGAATGCCGACTTGCTTCTGAGCTTGGGCACGACCAGGGGAGAACAAAGCTAGAACCGAGACATCACCATCAAACTCGAAGCCGTCAGATGGCTTGATCTTACTGCTTGCCCTCTTTACCTACTCAAGTTTGCCCTCGATTATGTACACGCGACAATACTTTTGGTACCTTAGTTCGACCTGCCTACACCATTTCAATCCCAGCAATGACGGAAGAGAGATGGGCAGAAGAACTACGTCAATCTTTACCAATAAGGTGCCGCTAGAGTGTGTGCAACCAAGGGCCCTACTCTGTTGCCCGCAGCAAGTCGCGTGTCACAAACTCCTTTCCAAGGCGCTATAACTTCTTCAGTCGTGCAACCGAAGAAGAAAAGGTTCCAAGGGACTTCCTCCCCGCCGCATTGGTTCTTCTGGCAAACAAGAGGCAGCCGCTCAGCCACGATCGCCTTAGGCAGGTGTGTCACGGGTCACAACGTCGGTGGGTCTCGGTGAGCAGGGAAAACACGTCCCAAGCCCCTTTATGAACTCGGCATGGCGAATAAACATGCGAGTATTGCGTAAAAAACTGTGTTTTATTCCCCAGAATCCAAACTAAGCCTGCGGGTGTCTACTGGAGTGAGCCCAGATAAGTCTATCAAAATCAAAAGGTAACGAGGGTCTGATCACCAGTGATCAAGGTCCTGGTCGGGGCAGGTGTCTAGCTTAACGGTACTCAACCCCTTCCAACTGTGAGCGCAAAAGAAATTGAAGAAAGAACAGAAATGATGGTAAGGTCCTGCTATGACAAATCGAAGCTGTGCCGAGTCCTCTTCTGCTTGACGGTATGACGGCGGCGACATGGCCATGCGAGAAGATTGGCTTCGAGAGGCTCATAGTGCCTCTGTTGACGTTTTGTTGGCGCATTTCATCTGCCCTGTAGGAACCGGAAGCTGCCGCTCCTGGATCTCATCAGTTCTCATGTCGGCAGGGAAGTGACGAATTGAACTCACGTATGGAGACGCGTGAACGGTAACATCAGCGAGTCCATCCTCTCGTACTTGAGGTTGAGACGGCCTTAAGGCCTGTGCATGCAGTATGGGCAACAGAGATCGTAACGGCAGCTAAGGTTCTTGCCGTTATCACAGTTGTTCTACGAAAAGACCATTAGCGAATTACTTGTTTGAATCTTGCATGGAGATAAGCTGGACCCACGCAGTCCCAGGTCATGATGGGGTCGAGGGGTTGAGACGGTCTTTGGTGGTGATTTGGTGGTCTCGGATGTTGATTTTGCAGTAGAGTCTTGTAGACGGTCTCGAAATTGTGCTGCTGATGATCTGAAAACCAAAGACTTCGCTGATGAAGACATCGAGTCGTTTTATATCTTTGTCGGTCATCTCGCGATTGAAATTGGTCGCAAAGGCGTCATGGTATTCGAATGGAAAGCCTCAAGGTTGGACCCCTTGACTGCTCGAAAACACATAGCCTGTACCAATATCATACCAATGACACTATGTCGAACCGCTCAACGGGGCCAGCTGTCAAGCCTCATAACTGCAGTCGGTGTGCAATTTCTCAAGGCGAAAGCAGTTTCCGTGGGAGGGTTCCATAGATTTGCTAGCGCTTCGTCGCCCAGAGTCTGAACAATATCCACGTCCCTGTAATTGAGGCCAACCTTGCCCTGAGGTTTTGGGCAAACCTCAACCAAACACAGCTTTGCCGTCGCAAAGAAGGTTGAGTCTCGTCGCCCTACTAGGTCAAATCGCAGGCAGGAAAGGGGGAAGCTGGGGGTTAACATAGCCTCCGTGCGCAGCTTCCAGGGCTCAAACATCGTCGGTGTCTTGCATCATGCCTCGCCCACGGGAAACCGAGGCGGAACGGGGGTGAAGAGTTCCCAACACGTTAGCCAGGACGTCTCTCACCGTCCCATGCCCGTCACGACGAAGCTGGGCAGCTCTAGGGCGGCGAAGCCTCAAGCATCCTTCTCCTAAGTCGAATGTGCACTTGCGGCTCAACAAAGTCTACCTAAGCTGGTGTCAGCATCGTGCGGAAAAAAAGAGGGATGCTAGCTCTTGGTGTCAGGGAGCATGACACGGTTTGCCGTAGGAAATCTTACCGCTTCCATCCAAGCATATCCTAGAATGCACATCAAAGAGTTGGAATATCGGGCCATCTGACCCAAGGACTTCTTTGCTTCGCACACCGCCCTAGCATGTGACCCTCTCTCGCACCACACTGATCAGAGCCGCATTTGCCCCAGCCTTGCCCACATGGAGGACCCTGCCTTCCAGCGCCTCTTTCAGCCTGTGATTTTGCATCCAACCTGCCGTGATTCAATAAAAGAACGGAGAATAGATCGCCGAGCTAAAGACTCGTTGGGACCGCATCGTTGAGGCAGGGCGGGCTCACTCTGTGAAGGTGGGTAGGCCGTCTCGTGTAGGAGTCATGACGTCAACACGACCTAATAAGGTACCTACGGTATGTATCCGAAGCTCCTACTTCAGTCGAGTAGGCTGTGTGAACGACCTTGCGCCCCGCCCAAAACATGAGGCTATCGTGGAGCGCAAAAGGGGCAGGCAAGTAAGGTTTCGCCGAGGTTCGGTCAAGCGTCATGCGTTCGCTTTACTGGAAGAAAGGCTGGGGCCTTGAACTGTCTGGCGGCAACAAAAACCCGGGCACCGAATACAGTCTGCGGCTTCGACTGGAGCGGCCCCGCACGCAATTACCATGTCGCTGCACAGCTCTTCGTTTCTCCAGGGATCTTGACGTGAACTACACGTACACCTCAGTCCTTCCCTTCAAGGTAAATAAATGGTGAAGGACGCTCAGATCAAAGTAAGATATGTGCAGAGTCAGGGTTGTGGTCATGGCTGGGCCACTGGTTGGACAAGAACCACGCCTTAGTCATCAGTAATCTCTCTCGAATGGCAGGTTGCCATCTGATGATGCTTCGCCCAGACCTCATCTGCCCCGTCCGCGTCAGCGATGCGACTGACGCTCCCCTACCAATACCAGTATTGTGTGGGAACCCTGCAGAATCCTTCACCCTCGTTCCGTTTCATTCCTGAACACGACCACGATGCCATGCCATTTTTAGTCCCGGCGCTCCGAAAGCCATGTCGCGACACAACACTCGATCCTAGGTAGTAACCACAGCGAGCGCGACGCCGACACCACACTGCTTCCCCCATAGACGCCACGCGTCTCCCGGGATGCGCTGCCTGCCGCCATGACAGAATCGCAAGAGAGTCATAAAGCCATCGCTAGATGGACGAGCCGGGTCATCCCGGCCATCCTTGCCGGTGTTCTTGGTTACGCGACATACGTTGTCGTATCGCGACTCTGCAGTACGTTCTCCAGAGCAAGGTTGTCCTAACTGCGCACTAATGAACACCCCCAGTTGAATATTTATCGAAAGAGAGGGGAGAAACTGGCACCGCCATTGCCGTATCGATTCTCTATATTCTTTTCCTCTTCTTGTCCTTGGTGACATACATCCGGACGATATGGACCATCAACACCGACACTGGACTTGTACCACTCGGCCCAGAGGCTCAGAGAGCCCGAACCGGAGCAGAAAAATCTATATCGAAGGGAGGCAAACGATCTGGACGGCGCGCCGACGATCTTGAATCCCAACCCTATCAGCCAGGCCCCGATCAAGACCCGGACAGCCCGGGACTGGAGAGGTTCTACAGCAAAAACGCGTTCATCTGTGAGAACGATGGTCGACCCAAGTGGTGCTCAGAATGTCGCAACTGGAAGCCGGATCGCGCGCATCACTCCAGCGAGATTGGTCGGTGCGTACTGAAGATGGACCACTACTGTCCATGGGTTGGTGGGATGGTTTCCGAGACTTGTAGGTTCATTTGAATCCTCCTTTGCCTGCCCCTCAAAGGACTGGTCTGACGTTGGCTAGCATTCAAATTCTTCTCTCAGTTTACATGCTACTGTGCGGCCATGTGTGCTGTTGTGCTATCGACGGCGGCATATTGTTTGGCCAGACAACAACAGGAGGGACGATCTCTGGACGGGCAGATCGTCGCGGTCATCGCACTCTCCGCCTTTTTCGGCCTCTTTACCTTCACGATGACGACGACATCGTGGTATTACGTCTTTCTTAACGTTACTAATATCGACATGCTTAAGAAGGCATGGGTTTATCAGGTGGCTGTTCGCGTGCCGCGCGGGACTCCATCCAGCCAGCACTTTTCAACCGTCACATATCCTTTGCCCAGACACAGCGAGACGCCCAGCAGTCAGAGTAGCGGGGGCACCATCTTGCCAACCTCGTCTGCGCCGCACTCTGGTGGACAGCAATTGTCAGCGAGAGACCTTGCTGCCACACGAACATTCGCCATACTGCGTACAGAGCCCGATGAGAATCCTTGGGACCTCGGGTGGAAGGAGAACTGGAAGCAGGTCATGGGAAACAGTATCATTGACTGGCTGCTTCCCATTCGGAAATCACCTTGTGCGCTTCACGAGAACGCGGACAGTGATTATCCCATGGGTCATGTACTGCAATCACTGGCGAAACGGAACCGAATACCAACCTTGGCGGATGAAGAGGGCATCCTCACAGAAATGTACGAGGTAAGGAGCGCTCAACGAGGAAGTTGAAATCACGAAGATACCCAGTCATACGACACGACGCAGCGCAGCGCCAGGTTTAGAAGCACACGTGTAATTCCCTTTGTGTGTGTTGGGCAGGGATGACATGGCGAGACCAAACAAAACCACCAGATAATTCTTAATGATTAGCCTCTATTTTCACACTATTCACCCAGAGTATAAGTTTCATTGGCGCATTGTTTGAATTTCCAAGAGAGGTTGCCTACCTTACCTCGAATCACTTCCTTCCCAATTCCAATGTGACAGTCATGACGTTGGAGGCGCCCTTTCCCAGCACGCTTATGTAACCACCAGGCAACACCACAGGACGGACCCGCGTCCACGTCTCAACCTCCATAGTAGAACACTTCATCCCAACGGCGTTGTTTCCAGGCTCACACGACTGCCAAGCGACTACATTGCCAGGCTCGAGATGATCTCTGAAAACGGCAGGCCTAGCTCAAGTATTGAAGATTCTTGACATGCAGCCGTGACCTATCCAGACCATGACGACCTCTTCACCACAGTTTCGCGAGTCGTCACCCCTGATGGGCACGAGGAGCCCGAAATCCCAGTTCACTTATCGACAACTCTCACTTCTCGCCTCGTATGCCGTATCTAGCCCGCTGCGGGTCATCGCTCACATTGACCTCGATGCATTCTATGCCCAGTGTGAGATGGTGCGCCTGAACACTCCAGAGGACCAGCCCTTGGCCGTGCAGCAGTGGTACGTAAAGCAAAGGATGCCACACATGGTTTCTCCATTTTCTCTCTCTCATGAAACGTGCGCTTCCTGATAACCAAACTGACATGATCAGGCAAGGTTTGATCGCCATCAACTACCCTGCGCGTAGCTTTGGCATTGGAAGGCACTGCACTCTTGCAGAAGCAAGGAAGTTGTGCCCAGACCTGATCGCGCAGCACGTGGCCACATGGCGCGAGGGCGACGACAAGTGGGCGTACCGTGACGATGCCGCCGCCAACATTACGAGCGACAAGGTGTCGCTCGATCCCTATCGGCTGCAGTCGAGAAGGATCCTGGCACTCATCAAAGAAACACTGCCATCTGACCTCCAAAAGGTTGAGAAAGCGAGTATCGATGAGGTATTCTGCGACCTGTCGGCCCACGTCCATTCAATCCTGCTCGAGCGCTTTCCCGAGCTGAATAACCCCCCGCCATATGATGACCCGACAGAGAGGCTACCTCGGCCGCCGGTCGTCGCGCTCGACTGGCAAGCAGACGCCTTGATCGACCTGGACGAGGACGCGGAGAACCAGGACCCTGACTGGGACGACGTGGCAATACTGATTGGGTCCGAGATTATCCGGGGTGTCCGCGCACGCATCCACGAAGTTCTGCATTACACTTGCTCCGCTGGCATAGCGAATAACAAGATGCTCAGTAAGCTGGGCTCGGCCCACAAGAAGCCCAATCAACAAACTGTGATACGCAACCGCGCCATCCAACAGTTTCTTTCCGACTTCAAGTTCACCAAGATCCGCAACCTGGGTGGCAAGCTCGGTGATACCATTGTCAATACGTTCAACACGGACACCGTCAAGGACCTCCTGCCGACTCCACTGGATCAGATGAAGGCGAGACTGGGGGACGAGACGGGTATTTGGGTTTACAACACAATTCGTGGCATTGACCAGAGCGAGGTCAACTCTCGAACCCAGATCAAATCAATGCTGTCCGCCAAATCATTCCGCCCCTCCATCCACACACCAGACCAAGGGAATCGTTGGCTGCGAATCTTTGTCGCTGACATCTTTTCCCGATTGGTTGAGGAGGGTGTGCTCGAAAACAAACGCAGGCCAAAGACGATAAACCTGCATCATAGACACGATGGTCAGATGAAGTCACGTCAAGGGCCAATACCTCAAGGGAAGCCCATTGATGAGCAAGGTCTGTTCGATCTTGCGAGAAACCTATTGCAGCAGATTGCCGCGGAGGGCAAAGTCTGGCCCTGCGAGAACCTCAGCCTAAGTGTTGGTGGTTTCGAAGATGGCATCACCGGAAACATGGGAATCGGTGCTTTTCTCGTAAAGGGGGTTGAAGCTCAGGCCTTAAGGCAGGCGTCGAACACCTCGACTCACATGTCCCCGTCTGAAGCACCAGCCGCAAAGAAACGCCGCCTGGCTAGTGACGGCGGCATACACAGATTCTTGACACGAAGCGTCTCTACAGATGAAGACGTGGCCGCTCACGACGCGGCCATGACCGAAGGGAGCAAATCAAGTGACGACAAGCAGCAGAGACTCACAACGGGTGCGACATCTCCTCGTATCAAAGATGCCGGAGAGATCGAGACAAACGATTCGAACCCCTGGGCTTTGCCCGTCCATTTGTGCAGCAGATGCAATGCAAGCTTCCAAGATAGTGACGACTTCCAAAGCCACCAGGACTGGCATATTGCCAAGGATCTCCAGGATGAAGAACGTGGAAAGTCCGCATTCGTCCAAACACCGCCCTCCGCCTCTCATGCTGCCGGCCCACGCAAAGCTGCCACATCCGCGAAGCGAGGTGGCCGAAGCGGCAAGCTCGAACATGGCCAACGGAAACTGAAGTTTGGCTAGGTAGCACCCAAACATCATAGGCCAAGAGGTATTGGGGATCGGCAGCGGCGCCAGCCGTCCTGTCGCTCCGCTTTCATGGCTGGCCTGTAATGCGATCCCTGATAATTAGAAGACGAAGGCCACGAGAGCATGGACTAAGGGGGTTGAGACCATGTAAACCACCAGACGGCCCGCGTCACAAACAATCAGTACGACCTGCACTTTTTCCACGATGGACCCACTCTGCGGGAACCAACAGACCAAAATGGTGATGCTGAAGCGGTGGGCAGCATTGGGCATGCACGATGGCCTGAGACGCAGATGAATGGGTCTCTTCATACGGCCGATCCCCATGACTGGGCAGAAAGTCTGGCCTCTGCAAGCTACAGTGCGGTGACCACGCCGGACTGCTGGCGATGAAGTCCTCGGAAAGCAGGTCCTCTGAGCTGTTTTGATTTACGGCATCTGGACAAGTGTAGAGCAGTCGTTCGCTTGTACTCCCTTTGTGTATCAGAGTCGCTGACCACGACGCCCCACAGAGAGCTTTGTTAAGAAGAATGGCAGACGGATTTCAGGCAGCGCTTCCCATTCTTGGTAGTGCGAGGATCTGATGCTCTGGAGTCGGGGTCGTGCCATTGCAGCTTAGGTGGACTTGGTGTACAACCGCAGCATAGGAAAAGCCGGGATATTGGGTACATGATGACCAGCTGTCGGTGATCTTATCCCTTATCCCTGCCTCCGAAGTTCCCCACGGAAACGGCCTTTCCTGGTACCATACAAAGGCGCAGCGTCGTCATGACGATGCTTTAGAACGAGTTGCTCAGGCATGTCTGAGTATAATGGCCGTCCTATCACCGTGTGACAGTAAAGCGATCGATGATTGGACGAAATTTTAGGCACTTTGAGTCGGGAGGTTGGGCCACAATCCAAGTTAAGGCATTGCTACCCAACGATGATTGATGTGTGTGCCAGCCACCTGAAGGCGGGACCAGTCTGAATGTTCAATCGATGGCCCGGTTTAGTCAACAAGCCGTGTATGTCATGTCGGTCAGCGGCAGCCGATCAACCATTTCGAGCTACTGCACTGCACGTGCACATGATGTTCTTGAGGCAATAACGTCGTGCCGCAGCCCATTGCACCACGTCGCTATCATCGACTGGACTCCTTCTAGACTTCGAATCGTCTGCTCGAGAAGAACGTGAGGCAGAGGTGCGTCGACGGAGCTACCCCGTTTCGTCGGTGGGGGGAGGCGCCAATGAGACGGAGATGGACAGAGAGTCGAGAAGGGGCTGGATGAGACGAGCGAGGGAAGCCAGGATGGCCCATGGCCGTCAGGTAGCAAATGCCACGCTGGCTCTAGTGGCCCAGACGCTCTGCTGCAAGGCTTGGCAGAAGAAGAAAAAAGTTTCGTTGCGAGAAGCGCGCCGTGAGGTTTTTCTACCAGTGTGGTGTCTGAGTAAGAAGCGGGATTCGCGCTTCGAAGGGCATTCGTAGTGTCATTCGTGTCACTAGAAATGGTCGCACGGCATGTCGTATTTGAATGATCAGAGTTCCTCTTCCAGGGTGTTCGATGTTGAAAATGACAACACCCAACCATACGGGTGTGCCAGCCTGATTGCGCACGCATCGGAAGGGGCGGGGTTCGCCATTCATTTCTGGTTCTATTGCCATTTTGACAAGCAGCCGACACGAAATGCCATTCTTGGAGGGCTGTCCCCTAGGGCCCTCCAAGTGGACGAGATCGGGCTCGTCCTGGATCTGGGGTGAGCTTCCGTCCAAGAACTGGACACGGGGGAGGTGCCGGCTACAAAAATGACAATCACAATGTCGGATCATCGCGTACGTCACCAGGTGCTGTCACCCAGACCATCGACTTTCTTTTGGGGCCAGACCGTCAGGCTGTCAAACCTGTCAGGCTCCCGAGCTTCATTCTGTTGGGCTAAACAGAGGGGACGCCAACAGGGAGAGAGCCTGTTGCAGCCTCCGACGATCCCCAAGGGTGTCGTTTCTGTCAGTTGGAGAGGATGATGGTGGCTCATTGAAACGGATCTCGCGAAACATAAGTCTTGTTCACTGGAACCCATTTTTCATGAGAGACCAGGTTTGCAGGCAGGGCGGAGTGGAAGTGGACGAGTGTGGGGAGCACGAGATGCTGTGGCTGAGAAGACGACACCCTCTGCTTTTTGGTAATAAGGTAACGAGTTGACGCAGGCATCTTGGCGTGCCGCCACCTGGGTAGGTAGGTACTTGCTGCTTCAGCTAGGGGGCACTGCAACTGCAAGGCAGAAGCAGCAAAGCAGATGCAGACGATAGGTACATGTAGACGCAGGACAGGAGCACGGTTTATTAGCCAGCCAACAGCGTGCTGCCAGCGCGTCCCGACCTCCTTCACCTCCAGGGGGGGACGCTCAGTGTGTGCCTGCTGACGGGTGTGGCCAGTCACGTACCACGATTGGGACACCAGAGGCCTAAGCCGACTTGCCTAATCCCTGTCATTCCTGCCCTACTACCTACCTGCCCGCCTGCCTGCCTCGAGCCAGGTTTATCGCTGACGCTGGACCGGCCGGTGGTGTTTCCTGCCTCCAGTTTTTGCTGCTGCCCACTGGATGTCGGTCACGGTTGACTTGCCGCTGGCCCTCAGGCCGACCCACATGGTCTTGCTGCCAGCGCAATCACTGCCCTTTTCTTCTGCCACCACCCACTTCCCCCCTCCCCTCCAAACGTGGTTTGCTCTGAACCTTCGCATCTTTCTCTTTCTCAGCCCATCACCACCTACAACCACCGCCCAAGGGCTCGTTCCCTTCTTCGCCATATTGAGACGTATACGATTCACCCAGGAGCTTGTTGCGACACTCTCTCCCTTTTTTCTCTCGCTCTCGCTTCCTCTCACCCCCCTCGCCACAATCACAAAATCAATCAGATGGCGTCGAGGCAACCACGAGGCGGCGCGCCTCAGTCAAGCGGTGTCGGCGCTTCCACTGCCAGTAGCCGCTCCAACGAGTACTTCGTCCCGAGGGACGGCATCGATCGAGAGGTCATCACCGCCGACATCTGCCGCTACCTCGGAAACGATGCACTCGTCCGTCCTGGTCACTACGAGGTACGCTCTTCCATATGCCGAGTGGACGACAACCGTCGTCGTGGTGTATCGCACGGCACGGGTCGATCTGACGGTATCGGACCTCGTGCTGACAAACCTCTTTACAGAACCCTCAAACAGGCCAGGCCGTCCAAGGCTACTACATCACAGCCTACCGGAATCTGACGACAGTGAGTCGTCGCTCTTCCCCCGCTCATCTGGTTGTCGGCGGGGACATGTGCTGACACGGCACAGGCTATGATCGATGATTTGAAGGCCCGACTCAGCTCGGTGGGAGGCAGAGCGGCGGCAGCAGGCCTCCCGCAATGCCCCAAGCACAGCAGGTACCTTGGCCTCAAAGAGTGCGAAGGGCCAGCCTTCAAGACATTCTAACTCGCCCATCCTAGGGTACCGTGACTCGGCCACCCACAATGCCCGACAGCACTTTGGCCCCACTACCGAAACCGCCGGAGGATACTCAGATGGTCGTGACCCCTATGATGCTCCCAGATACCCAGGATCCCAAGCTCCAGGCTACTCAGGAAACTCGGGCTCTTACCCGTCGCAGGGCGGCGCCTCTGCGCACGCCTCCGTGCAATCCAGCTATGGCTCAACTGGTGGCTACCAGTACCCTCCCCAGAATTCTACATACTCTCCGCAGCCGGACCCAAGGTATCCTGCTTCACAGACCGCCTCGTACGGACCACCGGACATGCCATACACCAATGTTAGTGTGAACTCGGTCAACTCAGCCATGCGCCAGCAGTACAATGATCCCTATGGTAGCTCTCAGGCGGGTCAGCGCATCCCCGCTGCCGCTGCGCCTGGTCCCGGACAGGCTTATGGACAGCAGGCCGCCGCCGCTTATGGCGGTGCTCCAGGTTACTACCCTCAGCAGCAGGCTGCCGCGAGCTACGGCTCTTCTCAGGCACAGGCCCCAGACACGATATATGGTCGCGGTGCGTCTTCACCGAATCCCCTAACCTCTACCCGAAAACCGTCTGATTTTGTAGCTTCCCCCGCAGGTGCATCCCAGGCCTTCAGCTCCGCCCAAGGACAACAGTATGCTCCCAATCCCACCCCGCGCGCCGCCGCTTCTTCGTCTTCCAGTACTCAAATGGCCAGCAGTGCAGCACCTCATTCTCGTCGCGAGAGGGAACCAACCGACAGGCACCGAGCCTCTCGCCGATGAGTTCGTACCGGAGCAGCCCAAACTGGTCGATCTTGGTCTCATGAGATTTCTGTCCCATGGATCTGCCCGTTATTGACTGTGAGATCCCGTATGACCTGGGATCACGTTCCATTTCCACGGCGTCGGCTTCCATGATCATTTGTTTCTTCCCGGATAGAAGCCAGGATTTCAGTTGTAACATCCGTTACCTTTTGGGAATTGCTGCAAGTTTGCACCATCCGCTTCTGAGGGTTTGGTCCTCATGCCCTTCGGGTTATCTTCCTTCTCACCTTTCCCGGACAACCCAGTAATTGGACGGAGCCTTTCTCGTTTCCTTTTCACTCATGCCTGGATATTTTCGCCAAGAATGGACTCAACCTGGCATACTCATGGACCTTTTGACGACTTGCATATATGGATGGGGATTACGACTTGGTATCTGCGTGCTTCGACTGGATGAATGCCAACCGGCAAGCTGGAGTACTTTCCGCACACGTTTTCCTTACCGCACGAACGACTTGGAGCCCGGAAAAGGAAAGAAGTTTACGACACTCTCAAATGAACCGGGGTGGTACATTTTATGTTTTATCGGAGCGCCTCGCTGTCCGAAAAATCCTACCCAAGAAAGGATCCGTGATGTCGGTTGCCTCATGATTCTCGCCTGGGTTTCATTGACGTTCGTTCTATTTCACTGGGCTTACCGGAGTACCTGGACAATTCTGTGTTTTTGATTTGTTTCATAGAACGGTGAGGCCGACATCCGGACAGCGAGGTGAGTTCCCTGGAGCTTGTATATACTTGTGAACCTTACAAAGGACTCCTTTCATCAAACCATACAACGCCTCTCTTTCTGGATCTGCCGCGTGGACTGCGATTCCCCCCCCTTGTTCTTTGACCATTGTTGCTCCTAACTCGACAGACGTTCCCTCCACTTCCTGTTCAATCAACAGGACAGTCCGCGCTTCCCTGGAGGTCGGTTGATTCAGCATACTCCCCGGAGGTATGGGGCCTATCTCCACTCAACCTCATTAGCCCAGCTCGTCGACTCCAGATATCTGGCCCCGTCACCAGCAACGCCAGACATGAGCAAATTGGCTTGGACGGCATTCTTACCTTATAGCAGTAGCCACTGCAAGCCCAGTATCACTTGCCGTGTTACTTTGTTCTGCCGGTTCCGCTGAATGCGCTGCTCAAGCCAGAGCGTGCATTTCATCTTGAGATTACTGGAAATGGGTAAGATTGCGGTTTTTTTGCCTACGCATTCATCGTGGACTGTTTTATCGTTTCTACCAAACACTCGTCTTGCGGTGTTGGTCGTCTCAAGCCTGGCCAAACATGCTGAACTCGACCAACAATCCCCCGAACCTGGTTCAAGACGGGACTGAGCTATCCCTCCCACAAGTCGAAGCGAATCTGGATCGCAACGCAGCCGGGACGGCCATACTCTGAATTGAGTAAACAATTTTTCGGGATGATTCTGCACCACACGGATGGGACGCCTATCAATGATTCATGCCTTGCCCCGGCTCTTCAGACCAGCACTATGCAACCGCACTCTTGAAAGCCGGATCGATGAATCTTCGAATGACAAGGAACAGCAAAGTAAACCACATTCTGCCTTTGTATGGACCTCTGAACTGGAAGTCGTTGCCTAGGAACGCACACTGTCCCCTGTTGGAGCGTGCTGGCATTCAGTGTCGGGGTATGATGCTCAAGATGTCACGCCGAGGATCATTGACACTACGTAGGCGAAGGAGGGTGTGTGAAGATAGTGGGCGTGTGAAGATAGCGGGCTCGATTTGATAGGAACTGGAGCATCATTCATCAACCCATCCGATCTGCAAGCGCTGTGCATGTAAACTATACCCAAATTTGGAGCCCATTCAAGCTACTGTGCATGGCATGGCTCCCGAGGACCGACGGCTACTTCACAACGGAGTACAATTGACGCACATTTGTATCACGCTATGCGAAGTGACACGGTACCTCATGGGCTGACCACCCTTAGGTTGATGCACGGGCAAGATTTAAGAGCAGAAGATGAGTACAAACGCTGGTACCCGAGGACTTCTGATGTGTCAAGTACAGCAGGTCTGGGGAATGGCAAGGACCTGGCGAATTGGCTATTTCGAACTCACGACGGTGAGAGATAGACGTTACAACCGCGTGGCAATATGCCTGAGCACAGCTGTTTTGGCCTTGTCGTCCTATTGCGTTCTACGCTCATCCAAAGATGGCTCCCATCATGTGGGTTGCACGGGCACACAGAATGTGGAGGGCAGCAGGCAGAATGAGGGCAAGAGCGCGGAACACCCTTGTCGGCAGACATGGGGCGTGCCAGTGTCTTGCCCCGCTGCCCTGGCGGTGAAAAGATTGTGTGGTCCAAGGGCGCCAGCGAAGAATCCAGTCGAGACGGTGGTGAGTCACAGGAAAGGCAGGCGGTCAGGGTAGAGGCAAGGTAAGGTACCTACCTAAGGTAGGTAGGCAAAAAGGGGATCATTGCCGGGCCGCCTCGGCGCAGGTGGAGACTGGAATCGGCAGATGCGTGGAATGCTTCTCTGCCGCTGCCGTGCGTGCCTGATGCGGTAGGCACATCGAGCCGGCTATCAGATGTTGACAGTTGCGCATTCAGGTTGGTCGCCCTACCTGTGAGCGACGATGACTCAGGCTTTCATCTGCAACATGGAGGAGAGGGTAGCTGATGGCATGGAGGGCTAAAATGCCAGGGAGTGTGGACAGATAGATGTGCGTGGGTACCTCAGTCTCAAGATTGGGGGAGGGGGAGGGGCCTCACCCCCCACTGCAGGTGTTGGCATGCCCTGTTTTCCGGGCAGCAAAATGGCAAGGTCATTTTGCTCGTGACGATTCAAGTCTGGACATGTCAGGGTCTCTTTTGGTGTGATGTCAGATGCCCATACGATTGATCCGGTCAGGGTGCATGGCGTTGAACATGGCATGTGCATCCTGTTGAATCTTTGGCAGATGAAAGCCAGGGACCTTGGGTAGCAATGAGCAGGGACAGTTGGGGGCAACCTTCACTTGGGAAGGTTGCGAGCGCAGCTGAAGCACACCGCCCACGCCATATCGGGCTACTGAGAAGTAGGTAGGCACCTACGGTCCGTCCACATTCGTCAACCACCGAATCCCATGTTCGCTCACTTTCAGCCCGAATGGACGGGTGCGAGTCGCCAAATCCATCAGCGGCTGGTTCAACTGGGGACAGGTATTTGCACTAATCGAGCACAGGCTTTTGGTCAGCGCTACATGGACAAGAGAGACTCCAAAGCGAAGCTGAATTCGCAACACGTTGGCCAGGGTACCTGTGACGTACCCTGTCAATGTTTGACGTGAGGTACCCGCGTTTTCTCATTGCTCGTCTACCAACTGTGCCGGGGCTGGTCCCTGTTGTGCTACCATCGGTGTTGAGACGGAGTGATAGTCATGTGCTTCTGATAACTGGAAGGGGGAATTGACAAAAAAACATCTCAGACAGCACTGGTGCGGTTTGTAGTGTCGGTCGAGGACAAGGCTGAATACAGACAGCATGACACTGGAAGATGTGTAGGTGGTACCTACCTTAGGCACTTACCTGAACATCTGTTCCCCTCGCCGTCGCGCGCTCAATCCGCTACAGAGCCAAATAACAGTGGGCGTGCCCGGCTGCTGACGCGGATCCCTACAGGTGTCTTTCCTTCTGAAGCCCTCCAAAAGCCTGCCGCCTACCAGGTGTTCCCCACCCCCCTCTTTACAGTTTAGATTCCCTGTCGTCCTTGCCTGCCTCGTTTGCCCTGTCTGGGGGAGAGGTCAAGGTACATGACGAACAGCGTTCTGGTGCAGCACCGGACAAGTACCCCCATCGCCCTCAACCCTGGGATCCCTGGATTCTCTGAATGCCCCGCCATTTACTCGACGCACCGCACCCCGTGCTTGCTCGACGCCCAAAATTTTGTGACTATCGCCGCACGACCATCTCGCACCCGACCATAATCCATCCTCTTCTGGAGACCCCCCCCTCCCCTCCTTCACCCCTCCAACATCGCTCCTTTCAGAAAGACCCGTCCAGAAACCCGCCCACGATGGACACAACGGCGATCCGCGGCCTCCTCCTGGCCAGCTTGGATCCCGATGCCGACACCAGACGGAGGGCTGAGTTGCAGCTGAAGCAGGTATGCGCCCGCCCTGACCGACATGAACAAAATCCCCCCTTCGCCCCTCCTCTCCTCGGGACTCGCGACGCGATGAGCGGCAACGGCCCATGTCGCGCTCACAAGACCATGCATTATGGCCCGTCAGTATGTTGCAGCTCGCTGACGCTTTTTGGCCTTCGTGTAGATTGAGGAGCAGCCCGGTTTTATGGACGTGGCCCTCGATATCCTTCAGGCAGAGCAAGACAACAGTGTGCGACTATCAAGTACGTTCTCCCCCGACATCATGTCCCTCCGGCCTTTGCGATTCGAAGTCCTTGTTTGCCGGACTGCCTTTCCCCTCGGTCTTGTGCTTTCTGACATTGTCCACTTCTTCCAGCCGTCATTTACGTCAAGAACCGAGTCAACCGATCATGGGCGAAAACCGACCAGTACGCCAGCGAGGCCTTGATACCCGAAGATGAAAAGGCGCGCTTCCGCGATCGGCTGCTGCCCATCATGGCTGCCTCCCAAGGAGGTGTGCGCCAGCAGCTTATTCCTGTCCTGCAGAGGATCCTGCACTTCGACTTTCCAGACAAGTGGCCCAATTTCATGGACTACACCACGGAACTTCTCAACACAAATAACGCCCCCTCTGTCCTTGCTGGCCTCCAGTGCCTGCTCGCCATCTGCCGCGCCTGGCGTTTCCGATCTTCCGACAATGAGAGCCGCGTTCATTTTGATAAGATCATTGAGCTCAGCTTCCCCCGTCTCCTGACTATTTGCAATGAGCTCGTCACCCAGGAGAGCGATGAGGCCGGCGAGATGCTGCACCTCGCCCTCAAGGCGTACAAGCACGCGACTTGGGTAGGCAGCCCTTGCTGTTTTCCCCCCTTC